ACCATTTTCTAACTGATCCGCAGCCCACAAATAGGTTCAAAACATTTGTTTTGAACCTATGCTCAGACTATTTTGTTGAAATATATTAAAAATTCATTGAAGAAGAAAGTAATACAAATCATGAAATTATGAAACAAAAAAAAATTAATTGGCGCTCCGGGGCGACTTCTTTGATTCCAGTGGCACATTCGCTTTTTCAGCTACAGGAAAACCCGAGAAAACCTGCAGCACCACATCATCTGAAGATCTTGATCTGCCATGGTCCTCTCTTTCATAAAATAAAATGTAGGGTGTCTCCAGAGGCTCCAATAAATTCATAACATCGCCAGAACACTACTATCGTCAAACAAAGCAGTCCGTTTCGTGTTTGACCGATGCGTAATAATGACCTGATTCAACGCCAGAACCACAGTGAACAAGGACTGCATGAAGATTATAATTGTGGTCTGCTTGATTGAAGTGTTAATCTATTTCGAACTTTCGTAAGAGTTTGGTGCATCCGTCAGAGGTTGAGTCATGTTTGAAGATCATCAGTGTCATTAATAGATTGACTGGTGCCTCAGTTATACTTGTTTTCTTATAATAGTCAGTTAGTTTGGCGCATGTTCGGCAATATAGTTGATCATCGCCCGTTAAAAGTTCCATTTTCAGGTGATTCAACAATGAGCTACGCACGGAGTTCCAGAAAATCACATACGTTTTTGCTACCTCTTGAACGTTTACTACAAAGTAAACAAGTGAGGATTTTTCCAGCAGAAGATCTACAAACACTAGAAGGGCCAGGAGTATTGATTCTGCTATTTGTTTGTTCACAAAGAGTATTCAACAAGAACCCCAAGAATTCGGAGAAATCCTCTTGTTGTCCTAACGAGTATCTAGTGGACTTCAAAGACTCCAGAAAATCGGTTGGTGGGAAAGATGATGCATTCTTTCGGAACTGCAACTGCATGAACAATTGTTTGAGTTTGGTGAATAAGTAGAAAATATTCTCGTTCTCGTTCATTGTTAAAACCTCGTTTTATTATTGGGAGCGAAATAAATAGAAGAATCAAACTTATTGTGAATCAGGAAAAGTCAAATGGAGAGTTTTTCCCTTGAAAATTTCAAGCTGAAGAATCATGAGAGAGATACGGAGTACTTTTCCATATTGAGATTGCTGCAACAATTGACACGAGTTCAACAATTCTTGCTATCAGACGATTCATTTCTCGCCGTGGACAACCTAAACAATTTATCACAGACAATGGAACAAATTTTGTTGGAGTGGAAAGAGAGCTAGCTCAAAGAAGCTGCTAGTACGTTAGATTTTACGAAGTTGTCAGATGAAGTTACTTGCCAGGGAACTGTGTGGAAATTCAACCTTCCAGCTGCTAGCCATATGGGTGGAATATGGGAACGTATGGTTCGTTCTGAAAAAACGACTCCCTGTCAGAAATTAGCAAGATACCTTTTGGAAATTTTGAATCCAATTTCAGGAAACAGTAATAGTTTCCTAAAAAATACAACCCATTTCATAGATAAACTTAAAGACATAACACTCAGTGATGGTGATGTTCTGATGAGCTTTGANAAAGTTCTCCATTATAATTTTTATATTTTTTCAGATTGGGGAAGGTAACAATTACCCAAAAAAGGTCGATAAAAAACTGATTTTTTCCTCCACAAAAAATGACTTTCGTTGAATATTTGATATTTTATTTTGCAATATCAGTCCCTTGTAAGACAATTCAATATTGAGAATTTACTGTAAGTCAAGTTGAATGAAAGACGCCTTCAAAACGGCATTAAACAGGTTTATTAAACCAAAAAGTTTTAACAGCATTCATACACAGTACATCAGATACGGAGGGTCAGTAAGAGAAAATCGGACACCGTAAAATTTGATCATTTTAAGGCTTGTTGAAGTGACTTGTCAAAATATATTTTCGTTAACGTGTGAAAATCAGTGGAAAACTCGGTAAAAAGTTATCTAATAGTTGGTGAATTTTTCTTTAGTCCATATAAAAAGCAAAATTGGTCGTGGTTTCTCGGGGACCAAAATAAACTGTACACGCATTCTTGTACTGGTTGTTATGTGGTTTTTTTCAAATCCTCTTGAATAACGTCAGCAAAAATTGAAACGAAACTGGCGATTTTCGGGTCTTTTCAAATACCTGACACCAATTTCGCAACATCATTTAAAAAAGCTTTGATAAGGCACCCGTTTACTCGTATTCATAAACTGGGCACACCTAATTTGGATATAAAAACATAAATAGAATTTCAAAATCATTATTACAAAAACCTCGTATACGACCAACAATATTTCAATCTGAAATAATTTATCACTTATTTGTTACACATGACATGTTTTCGGTAATAATAAGAAATAAATTGCTTTAATAGGTTTTTTCAGTTGTATTCTAATAGATTTCGGAATATCAGGAATGTTTATAATATGACGATTTGAAATTTGAAGCACGCAAAGTTAACAACGAGATACTTATATACTGGATGGTTTACGAGGCAGATTGAGCTCTCCCGTTCAAAAAAGTTCTCGGTGTATAAGAGGGGTTTGAAATACTATTCGCAATAGTCCTTGTGAATTTTTCTGTTGTATAATATTTACAGCATCTTTCTATAATAT